CTATCCATCCATCCATCTATCTATCCATCTATCCATCTATCCATCTATCTATCCATCTATATCTCTATCCATCTATCCATCTATCTATCCATCTATCCATCTATCTATCTATCCATCTATCTATCTATCCATCTATATCTCTATCCATCTATCTATCTATCCATCTATATCTCTATCTATCCATCTATCTATCTAAATGGATATTTTGGTCTTTAAGGTAGTACGGTTAGGGTTTATTTATTTATTCTTTAACTGATTGTAATATCTGCATTTCAATCGTACCCTTCAACAAATTCAGTTCAGAATGTTTATGCTGACCCTAAAGTTTTCCTTTGTAAGCAAAACCAAACTAGAGGGATCTGTGGGACTGGAAACTGTTGAAAGTTTGACCTTTTTGAGTTTTAGAGATCAGAAAGTCTCGAGGAATTTGGAAAGTTGAAAAGTGGAGCTCAGAGTCACCGTTCCCCCCCGCTGGTCCTCGACTCACAACTTTGACACCTTTATTCACACACACTGTTTGAGAGGGAAACGTGTTAATTACTTTCCTCTTTAGGCCGTATACATCCAACACCAAACTGTCTTCCCCTTGTATATGCTTATCCTACATTCCTCTCTATTTATGGACAAACTGAAACTTCTGTGTGAGAGAAAAACTCTGTTGATTGTCACTGGATGGTTTGGAGAAAATGAGCCTATACTGAGCCTGATGGTTGTTAACAATTACAACGTTTAATGTCTAAAGTGTGGTTCAGTCCAGACCGTTTGTTTACCACTGGAACACTTAAAATAGTTTTGGGATACATTAAAGAAAACCAAACGTGTTGCGTATGTTAAATAGGACTTGCAAATATGGTATTTATCTCGTTTTGATATCCTGATTACAGTATAGGAAGTTTTTGTTGGTATTTGAATAAATAAGTACTATATTCAAACCTATTTTTGTAATCCTGTGTAAATTAAATACACAAATAGGTAAACAAATGTGTTCTCATTTGATTAAGAACGTATATATGCAAAAATAACAGTAACTCAATTCCAGTGAAGTATAGAGAATAAGAAATAAACAAATACTCACTCACTAGTACAGAGAAATCTAATTAAGACAATATATGCAAATGTTTAAATCTCATTACACTCCGTTGTTATGTAATGTCAAAACAAAACCACAACCTTCAAATAAATTATATTTCAGTAAATAATTCACAACTGTTTTTCTGAGTCAGTAGGTGCTTGTTATTATCAAATTAAAATACGTCATTGTAATATCTTTCCATATCGATATGATTCCATTGAAACACAATAAAATGGTCATTGTCGTTGAGCTTGAATGTGAGCTTACGCTTCATTGTTTCTTTTATAACTGCATACCATCTAATATACAGTAGTTACATTTGTTTAGCAAATCATTGTGAGTGCCCAGCAGAGGTGGGAAGTAGTGGAGTACAAATACTTCATTACTCTACTTAAGTACATTTTTCTCGTATCAGTACTTTACTCCACTACTTATTTTTCTGACGACTTTTTACTTTGACTTCTTACATGTTGAACTCAAATACCTGTACTTTCTACTTCTTACATGTTGAACACAAATACCTGTACTTTCTACTTCTTACATGTTGAACCCAAATACCTGTACTTTCTACTTCTTACATGTTGAACACAAATACCTGTACTTTCTACTTCTTACATGTTGAACACAAATACCTGTACTTTCTACTTCTTACATGTTGAATTCAAATACCTGTACTTTCTACTTCTTACATGTTGAACACTAATACCTGTACTTTCTACTTCTTACATGTTGAACACAAATACCTGTACTTTCTACTTCTTACATGTTGAATTCAAATACCTGTACTTTCTACTTCTTACATGTTGAACACAAATACATGTACTTTCTACTTCTTACATGTTGAATTCAAATACCTGTACTTTCTACTTCTTACATGTTGAACACAAATACCTGTACTTTCTACTTCTTACATGTTGAACTCAAATACCTGTACTTTCTACTTCTTACATGTTGAATTCAAATACCTGTACTTTCTACTTCTTACATGTTGAACTCAAATACCTGTACTTTCTACTTCTCACATGTTGAACACAAATACCTGTACTTTCTACTTCTTACATGTTGAACACAAATACCTGTACTTTCTACTTCTTACATGTTGAATTCAAATACCTGTACTTTCTACTTCTTACATGTTGAACACAAATACATGTACTTTCTACTTCTTACATGTTGAATTCAAATACCTGTACTTTCTACTTCTTACATGTTGAACACAAATACCTGTACTTTCTACTTCTTACATGTTGAACACAAATACCTGTACTTTCTACTTCTTACATGTTGAACACAAATACCTGTACTTTCTACTTCTTACATGTTGAACCCAAATACCTGTACTTTCTACTTCTTACATGTTGAACTCAAATACTTGTACTTTCTACTTCTTACATGTTGAACACAAATACCTGTACTTTCTACTTCTTACATTTTGAACACAAATACCTGTACTTTCTACTTCTTACATGTTGAACACAAATACCTGTACTTTCTACTTCTTACATGTTGAACCCAAATACCTGTACTTTCTACTTCTTACATGTTGAACCCAAATACCTGTACTTTCTACTTCTTACATGTTGAACACAAATACCTGTACTTTCTACTTCTCACATGTTGAACTCAAATACCTGTACTTTCTACTTCTTACATGTTGAACTCAAATACCTGTACTTTCTACTTCTCACATGTTGAACTCAAATACCTGTACTTTCTACTTCTTACATTTTGAACACAAATACCTGTACTTTCTACTTCTTACATGTTGAACCCAAATACCTGTACTTTCTACTTCTTACATGTTGAACACAAATACCTGTACTTTCTACTTCTCACATGTTGAACTCAAATACCTGTACTTTCTACTTCTTACATGTTGAACTCAAATACCTGTACTTTCTACTTCTCACATGTTGAACTCAAATACCTGTACTTTCTACTTCTCACATGTTGAACACAAATACCTGTACTTTCTACTTCTTACATGTTGAACACAAATACCTGTACTTTCTCCTTCTCACATGTTGAACTCAAATACCTGTACTTTCTACTTCTTACATGTTGAACTCAAATACCTGTACTTTCTACTTCTCACATGTTGAACACAAATACCTGTACTTTCTACTTCTTACATGTTGAACTCAAATACCTGTACTTTCTACTTCTTACATGTTGAACACAAATACCTGTACTTTCTACTTCTTACATGTTGAACTCAAATACCTGTACTTTCTACTTCTTACATGTTGAACTCAAATACCTGTACTTTCTACTTCTTACATGTTGAACTCAAATACCTGTACTTTCTACTTCTTACATGTTTGAACACAAATACCTGTACTTTCTACTTCTTACATGTTGAACACAAATACCTGTACTTTCTACTTCTTACATGTTGAACTCAAATACCTGTACTTTCTACTTCTTACATGTTGAACACAAATACCTGTACTTTCTACTTCTTACATGTTGAACTCAAATACCTGTACTTCTACTTCTTACATGTTGAACTCAAATACCTGTACTTTCTACTTCTTACATGTTGAACTCAAATACCTGTACTTTCTACTTCTTACATGTTGAACACAAATACCTGTACTTTCTACTTCTTACATGTTGAACACAAATACCTGTACTTTCTACTTCTTACATGTTGAACTCAAATACCTGTACTTTCTACTTCTTACATGTTGAACACAAATACCTGTACTTTCTACTTCTTACATGTTGAACTCAAATACCTGTACTTTCTACTTCTTACATGTTGAACTCAAATACCTGTACTTTCTACTTCTTACATGTTGAACACAAATACCTGTACTTTCTACTTCTTACATGTTGAACTCAAATACTTGTACTTTCTACTTCTCTCATTTCCCAAACAGCTGGTTCCTTTAGTCTGAATGTGTGTTTGATGCGTGATCATTATTATTTAGAGTCATTGCGTGCCTATTGATTTGAACACGATCCGTGTATCCATCATTTCCTGGTCTTCTCTAAAGAGGGACCAATGGAAACGTTGTCATGTTGCCGTTGTTCAGCATGGAAACATTCATTAGCTAACAAGGACATTATTGTTCTATTAATATAAAGGGAGGTCAGGTACTCTTTAAAGCAGCTGCTAGTTATGGGTACTTTTTACTGAAGTACATTTCAAAGCCTCTTTACTTTGACTTGAGTAAAGAAGTTAATCAGTACTTCTACTTTCACCAGAGTATTTTTAAACACGAGTATCTGTACCTCTACTTGAGTAAAGGATGTGTGTACTTTTGCCATCTCTGGTGCCCAGCTATATGTTCAGTATGTTCAGTGTACCATGAGAGTAACACGGCAGCATTGTTTGATGTAAGCACTGCAGGGCTGAAACAAACAAAAGCAGGACGGTAGTTGAATTATATGAGGCCGCGAGGGTGGGGGGGGGTGGGTAGTGTAGATGTTGTGGTACTGCTCACCATTCACCACTAGTCTTTGTTCAGTAGATAGTGAAAATGCAGCCCACTTCACAGGGTTTCATTTATTTAGTTGGCAGCTCCATTCCTTAAAACATATTGCTTATAAAAAGAGGAAATATGAAGGTTATAGTTCAAGCTTGTTATGTAATTAAGTCATTGAGCTTATTTGTATCAACTAAGATTTGTTTGAAAATGTTTCCAACTTGAATCGACTGAATTTATTTGAAAAGTGGGCCTTTTAAAACATGAATACTTTGTAATATAAGTTTATTTTTGTGGGCCATATTTCATCATACTTTTCGAATTAGCTGAGGGCCGTTTAAAAATGGACCACGAGCCGCATTTGGCCCCCGGGCCGTAGTTTGGCCACACCTGCTGTAGGCCATTTCCGCTGATGGAACCAGGTCACTTGTTCACAATGGAGCCTCTCACGCTAATCAATCCTAAACCCCCCCCCCTTTCTCTTTTCCCAGTAGCCGGCTAGCCCCCAGCAACCACGACCGGATACAGCGGCTGCGGCAGGAGTTCCAGCAGGCGCAGACTGTGCCCGACGACCCGGACGACCGCAGGAGGACCTACAGCTTCGAGCAGCCCTGGGTGAGTGTCTGAAAAAAGACCAAATCCAGTCCAATCCCAGCCCAGGAAAATGGCTGGACTGTAAAACTCAAGAAAAACCACCTCTTCCAGACCAAGACTGCACGTGTTACCTCCAATGCCTCCAACCAAACATTTCTGGAGTATGGTGCTAAACGTCACTAACAACACTACTACTACCAGCCATGAACAAGACTGATGAAATCACCCTATCCCCACTATAGGGTTAACCTCCATCGGCCTTCATGGCTAATTGTGCTAATGCTAATACCCCCCACCCCCTGCATGCAGGAGTTTGCACACCTCACTAACCCCCGTCACACCCACCTCTACTCATCCATCGTCGTTGTTTCTGTATGTCCGTCATCCACACAGCAACTCATGGACTCCTGTGGGGTGTGTCGTCACATAGTTTCTGTGCATGGGGGGGTCTCATGTGTAAACCCTTTGTTTTAACTGTGCCTTTTTACACATTTAGGTACATTTTACTATTTAATTCACAGCCTAAGAAGAGGCATAATTAGTGCATTCTGAAGCAACAGGGGGTAATTACAAGCGAACAAAACCTGAATGCCTTCAACGTTTTTTGGGGGTGATGAAATCGCTTTTCAGTATTTATTTTTTCTCTCCCTGCTTCCTTGCACCCAGCTCAAGTGTACTTGGTTTTACAGCATGTTTTTGAATAACAAATGATGATGAACGATCAATTTTTAAACCTTAAAGACAGTTTTTATGACATTTTTCCAACTGGTAGCATCTCTGTGTAATTTTGTATTATATTATTGTTTTACACATAATTATGAGTCATTTTCACCACCTGTCTTCATCTAGTTTGGGACAACACATATTTTTGTTGATTTCACACACAAACACATTATGTCACAATACATATTGCTATGACTCATACACTCTGGTGACAACGGCAGAAATGTGTGTTGTCCAAAACTAGACAGCATGTATGTCGTCTCTTATGAATTGTCCTTGTGTTTTTGTTTTCTCTATACAAGGTCATTTTGATCACCCTTGTGTTTTTGTATATCTCTGTATCCACACAAAATGGTCCCCACTGTAGCTTTGGTGTGCAATGGGAGAATTTGATCCTACGATTTATAAATGAAATGATAAAGTGAGAGCTCACGAATCAAATCATCTGTGCTCTGGCCTTTCTTTTAAAGGTGATGAACCCAATAAAAATGTATTTTTGTTTCGCATTGGGCAGTATGAAACCAGAGTGATGCGTTTTAATGGGCTCCACACACACATTCCAGCTGGCATTGTGTAAAAATAGTGTGGGAAAGAAGAGCGCAGGTCGTCCTCTTGCTTTTGTCTCTCATCAACCAAGCGTGCTCTCAATTAGAGAACTCAACAACACTGCAGCATTATGTTTGTTTACATCAATGCCGCACATACTGTCGCTTTTTCCCATGAACGCTCAGTGCTAAGAAACCCACACTGTGAGAGTTAGCGACTCCTCTGTAGACCAAAGAGCTTTAAACATGTCAGGGCTCATTATTGAATGAAAAAGCTCACATACATGTGTGGAAATCCCTGAAAACCAGTTGTTCAGCGTCCTACTGCATGCATTCTAGTTCGACATATGTTACATTCATACACTTTTGCTCGTTTATTGGTTTGAGCCATTATTTTCACTGCTCTTGTTTGATTTGGTGTACCTTGTTGGAAAAGGGGAAGTAAGAAATACGCACTTTTTGTATTCTTTTAACGAGATATTTGACTATATTTTATAAATGTTCCATTATTGCACATAGAACATATTTACAGGGTGTCCGCGGGGTCTTCAAAAGTATTAAAAGTTGATAAATCAATTTAGCGAAAATGAAGGCTATTAAAAAGTATTAAACGGCATTTTCCAAGGTATTCCATTTTGTAGCTTGTTTTCAATAAGTATATAAATGGTCCAAAGAGGTTGTATTCTACAGTCTGCCTGAATGTAATCATTGCGTAGGTGTGTAGTGTGATTCTGTGTAGTTTATTGATGGCATCCCGTTGGGTTTGACGTCATCTGAACAGGACATCGCACGCTCACTGCTTGATAGCGAGCGAAGGTCCGTTTACGCCGGTTGCTAAGCAACATCGTTATGGGGAAATGCAAGTCTGCGTCCAAATGGTTGGAAGATAAGGAGGAAGGACAATCAATACTGTATATAGTCAATGTGAGGTAAAGTGTGTCGCCAAGGTAACCGGTTAAAACTCCAAGTGGCGATGAGGTCTTAAAATGTATGGAAAGGGTCTTAAACAAGGTCTTAAAAGGTCTTACATGTGACTTCAGGACTCCTGCTTATACCCTGATATCAGCTGGTAAAATGTATTAAAAACCGGTAAATTCAAAACCTGCCGGTCAAAATGTCTGGTAATAATTAGGGAGGCTCCGATAGATCGGCCACCGGTCATTATCGGCCGATATTCACTGTTAATAGTTTGATCGGTGCTCTCTATAAAGGCCGATCAGGAGAGCTGGATCTGATCGATATGGACATAAACGCGAGTGAAGTATAACCGGACGCGAGAGAGATCAGATCAGCTGCTGAGTGAGACAGAGACACGCAGCTCTGCATGATCACCTGAAGCCCCGCCCACTGTTTAGCGTGCTGCATGAGAAACTGACGGGCTGTCGAGAGAGAGAGAGAGAAGAGAGAGAGAGAGAGAGAGAGAGAGATAGATCGTAGGGGATAGAGCTAGAGATAGCATCGAGAGATTATATGCGATAGCTCTATAGCGCTCTCTATCTCTCTCTAGTCGCTATCTATATCGCACTCTAGCTCTCTATATCTCTCTCTCTCTCGCTATATCCGTATTCTCTCGCGCTCTCGCGCTCTCTCTCTCCTCTCTCTCTCGCTTCGCTCTCTCTCGCTCTCTCTCTCTCTCTATCTCTCTATCCTCTCTCTCCTCCAACTCTTCCCTCAGAGAAATAAACAAACACACAGCAGGAGGGGGCTGAAGTAGCACACACACACACACACACACACAGAGAGAGACAATGACACAAATGTAACAGTTGCGTTAGTGCAGTAAAGGTCTGAGTGTGTGAAGGGCGTGCACTCACACACTTCTGCAGAGAGATTATTCAAAGTTAATGTAAACTTTTTACTCTGCCACATAACTCTTATTATTATTATTGGAATGTGACCGGTAAGTTTCAAATGTATCCGGTAAAATAAATTCATTTGACCGGCGAGAAAAAATCCTAGCGGAAACCCTGCCTGATATATGTATTTATTTGTTTTAGGATTATAATCTTGTTTCCACAAAAACAAATCGTTAATATGTCAAATGTTTTCCAACAACAATATGATTTAAATTAAAAGCTTTCCAATCAAAGAATAAGCAAACAAGTCTGCAAATTAGACTAAGCATTTCATCTTAACATGTTGATGTTTTCTACCAAAGTACATACAAAACAGTCTCAATATCCAATACATGTTTTTGTATTTACTCCCTGATATGTAATCCTATAGATTACTTGATGATATGTAAGTGTTCGACTCCTATAAAAGGAGATTTCCCATGATTCCTCTGTGCCTCACGCTGGTTTGCATGTGAGGAACCCTCTGGAAGTCTCTCTAAATCCCCTTTTACTTTAGAGTGCAGCTCACACTCAGGCTCTCTGGTAATTGCACGTTATTAGACTCATGCCCCGGCCATACTGGTGGGCCATATGGAAAACAGCAGAATGTGTCTTTGAAATTCAATTACCTTCCCCATGCATTTATTACATGCTGTTGCTTCATCTCTGTGATGTGCTGCAAACCTCAAGGAGCCCGTGTCCTTTTCATTATTCACCTACAACTGCCCCACTTACAGTCATTGCCAGGAGAGCGCTGCTTATGAGGGACGGCAGGCTGCTTTTATACCACAGAAGAATGGTTGAATGATACAAGCAGATGTCAAATACATTACATAGTCGTTTTATTGAGGATAAAATGTATTTCAGAGCTGTAACAATTTTACAAATAGTAATTTAGTTTAATTGAAAATCAAGTAATGGACATTGTTTTTGATTATCATTGGATTTTCAAGCCACAAATCAGCATGGATCGAGATTCTCAGATGTTAAAGGGGCCATATTCTGCACATTTTCAGGTGTATATCAGTATGTAGTGTCTCTACTTTAAAGAGTCCTCTCCTGCTGATGTTCAGGTGTATATCAGTATGTAGTGTCTCTACTTTAAAGAGTCCTCTCCTGCTGATGTTCAGGGTGTATATCAGTATGTAGTGTCTCTACTTTAAAGAGTCCTCTCCTGCTGATGTTCAGGTGTATATCAGTATGTAGTTTCTCTACTTTAAAGAGTCCTCTCCTGCTGATGTGCAGGTGTATATCAGTAGTGTAGTGTCTCTACTTTAAAGAGTCCTCTCCTGCTGATGTTCAGGTGTATATCAGTATGTAGTATCTCTACTTTAAAGAGTTCCTCTCCTGCTGATGTTCAGGTGTATATCAGTATGTAGTGTCTCTACTTTAAAGAGTCCTCTCCTGCTGATGTTCAGGTGTATATCAGTATGTAGTATCTCTACTTTAAAGAGTCCTCTCCTGCTGATGTTCAGGTGTATATCAGTATGTAGTGTCTCTACTTTAAAGAGTCCTCTCCTGCTGATGTTCAGGTGTATATCAGTATGTAGTGTCTCTACTTTAAAGAGTCCTCTCCTGCTGATGTTCAGGTGTATATCAGTATGTAGTGTCTCTACTTTAAAGAGTCCTCTCCTGCTGATGTTCAGGTGTATATCAGTATGTAGTGTCTCTACTTTAAAGAGTCCTCTCCTGCTGATGTTCAGGTGTATATCAGTATGTAGTGTCTCTACTTTAAAGAGTCCTCTCCTGCTGATGTTCAGGTGTATATCAGTATGTAGTGTCTCTACTTTAAAGAGTCCTCTCCTGCTGATGTTCAGGTGTATATCAGTATGTAGTGTCTCTACTTTAAAGAGTCCTCTCCTGCTGATGTTGTAGGTGTATATCAGTATGTAGTGTCTCTACTTTAAAGAGTCCTCTC